CCCCCCCCCCCCCCCGCCCACCCATCTTCTGTCAGATTCTCCCCTGGGTCTGGCTTTCCTATAAACCCAGTCTTGTAATCATTTTGCCAACATTAAAAATGTGTTCCAGGTCTACACCTGACAGTCACTGGAATGCTACTTCAGGCCTTAGAAGAAAGTGAAACTAATTTTAAAGGCCCCTTATTCTTTCTGTTACCTGCCTGCTGAAGTGAAAATAGATCTCCCTGCTCCTTTATTCTGAACTGATTTGACTTTCCCATCTCCAAAGCTTGTTCAGGGAGCAGGAGCCTTTCCACTCGAGCCCCAGCTGTATTGGAAACCCTCCTAAAAGTCAGAGCAATGGGTCAGGAATCTAGCAAGCCTGTATGGCCCAAGCCATCAGGAGGGTATCAGTCCAATACAGGCAGGAGGTATGGAAGAAGGCATGCTTATGTCAGTTTCAGGCCATCCATGAGCCACCAGGAAAGGATTTCCAGCCAGAGAAAGACGACATCCGAAGTCCCAATGCACAGATCAGCCCCCAGTCAAACCACCAAGAGGAGCCGGTCACCATTTTCCACCACTCGTCGTAGTTGGGAAGACAGTGAGAGCTCGGGAACCAGCCTGAATGTTGATAATGAGGACTACTCCAGGTACCCACCGAGAGAGTACAGGGCCTCGGGTAGCAGAAGAGGAATGGCTTATGGACACGTTGACTCTTTCGGGGCAGATGATAGTGAGGAGGAGGGGGCTGGGCCTGTTGACCGAGTGCCAGTTAGAGGGAAAACTGGCAAGTTTAAAGATGAGAAGCCGTATGATCCAGAGAAAGGGGCAAGGTCTTTGGCTGGGGTGCCCCCACAGTTCTCTAGCTTTAACCGTGATGTGAGAGAGGAGCTTGACAAGGTAGACCCAGCCCCTGTGGTGAGACGCTCTGCTAGCAGAGCAGAGTTCCTGCAGCCAAATAGCATGGCTCCTCAGACGTCCGCTGAAGGCAAGGTGGCAACCACTGGTGACAGCCTGGAGAGGGAGAGACGGGAGCAGAATTTACCTGCACGTCCCATCAGGGCTCCTGTGAGTATTTGTGGTGGTGGGGAAAACACCCCAAAGAGTGCGGAGGAGCCAGTGGTGAGGCCCAAAATCAGAAATCTGGCAAGTCCAAACTGCGTGAAGCCAAAGATATTTTTTGATACTGATGATGATGATGATATGCCACACAGTACTTCCAGGTGGAGGGATTCTGCCAATGCTGATGAAGGCCATGCCAATGGCCGAGGCAGAAGAGGCAGAGTTGAGAGTTTAAGTGGCTTCTGTGAGCCAAAGTACCCTGAGGAGAAGAGGGATGCCAGGAATGACCAAGTGAAGCCGGAAAAGGTGCCAAGACGACGACGAACCATGGCCGACCCTGACTTCTGGACGTACAGCGATGATTACTACAAATACTATGAGGAAGACTCTGACAGTGACAAAGAGTGGACTGCTGCTCTGCGTCGGAAGTATCGAGGCCGAGAGCAAAATCTGTCATCCAGTGGCGAAAGCTGGGAGACTCTGCCAGGGAAAGAAGAGCATGAACCTGATCAAGTCAGAGTGAATTCCAGTGCTGGTGCCAGCCCCAGTGCTAGTGCCAGTGCGAACAGCAGTAGCAGCAATGAACTTGAAGAAGTTCGGGGACCACCTCTTCAAGAAGAGGAGCAGGCATCCCCAGAAGGAGAGGTTCCTTGGCTCCAGTACAATGAAAATGAGACCAGCAGTGAGGGGGATAATGATTCTGGTCAGGAGTTTCTGCAGCCAGGAGTATTCATGCTGGATGGAAACAACAACCTTGAAGATGATTCCAGCGTGAGCGAAGACTTAGAAGTGGATTGGAGCCTCTTTGACGGGTTTGCAGATGGGTTGGGGGTGGCTGAAGCCATTTCCTATGTGGATCCTCAATTTCTCACATACATGGCACTTGAAGAACGCCTGGCCCAGGCGATGGAAACAGCCCTCGCGCACTTAGAGTCTCTCGCAGTGGATGTGGAGGTGGCCAATCCACCTGCGAGCAAGGAGAGCATCGACACTCTTCCCGAGATCCTGGTCACTGAAGATCACAGTGCAGTGGGGCAGGAAATGTGTTGCCCCATCTGCTGTAGTGAATATGTGAAGGGGGAGGTGGCAACTGAGCTGCCATGCCACCACTATTTCCACAAGCCGTGCGTGTCCATCTGGCTTCAGAAGTCAGGCACCTGCCCCGTGTGCCGCTGCATGTTCCCTCCCCCACTCTAAGGCCAAGGCTCTTCTTTGTCGGTTGATTTTCCCCATCTGAAATCCACAATACTGCAGGAGCCCTCTCAAAATTAACAATTGAAATGAAACCAATCAGTTCATTAATCTACACCTGTTGATTCCTTGTGATTCTTTCCAATGTGAAAATGGTTGTGTGCGATTGCATTAAAAATCCTATTGTCTCTTAGAGGTTAGAAAAGCAAAACTAAACATTCTAAATGCTACTTGAGATTGCAGTAAAAACATACATTTTCTAACCCGAGTGGAAATAAGTTGCATTTGTCTTCAGTAGAATATGTTGCTGTTAATTGTAATGTCAAGTTGATCTGTTAAATATGTCCAGAAGGCATCATCATTTCTGTTGCATGTTATGGGTTAATGTTCCTGTAATTGCAGTGCCGTAAAAGCTCATTAAAGTTCTTTTGGTTTTACATGGTATAGTGGAATTGTTTGGTTTTGTCTAAAATGGTGGTACTAAGTGACTTTATAATCAGTCCATTGAACTTGCATCAAAAATAGGGTTTGGTGGGGTCTTCTTTTTTCTTTTTCCTTTTTTTTTTTTTTTTTTTTTTGGTGCTCCCAAAAGTAGAAAAGCTGGAAGGTCATTGGAAATGCTGACTCCAACAGTGGCAAAAAATTAAGGGTAATGATTTCTAAAAGTAGGAATAAACTGTGTGATTGTCAAACGACTCTACGGGGCAAAGGTCAAATGGAGAGTAGTCTGTCAGCCTATGGGAAGGAAAGAGACAATGAGAAAGCATGGTAAAAATAAAGAACAATGGTAGGAATAAGTCCAAACTGAGTATAGGGGTGAAGGAGTTAAAATCCCCTTTTAGAAAATAGAACCTCTCAGAGCGGGGCTCCTGGCTGGCTCACTCGGTAGAGCGTGCAATTTTTGATCTTGGGATTGTGAGTTCGAGCCCCATGCTGGGTGGAGAGATCACTTAAAGAAATAAAATCTTAAAAAAAAAAGAAAAGAAACTCTCAGAGGGGATGGGTCCAAAAAAGTTCCAAAATAACAACCTCTGTGCTGATCATATACCTTAACGCAGTGACACAAAAGGAATACAAAAATATATGCGAGACAAGTGCTGTGGCAAATACAGATACCCACTTACACAGAGTGAACAGGTTTTAGCATTTGGCCATATTGGCTTCCAATCTCTCTCTCTGTCTACAATAAATAGAATTTTTCAGGCACAAGTGAAGTTCCTCACCTGTCGTATTTACCTTCCTTCCTCCACAGAGGTAAGCACTACCCAGGAAATGGTGTGTTTTCTTCTCGTCTGTGTTTTTAGATGTGTGTGTATATGTGTACATATATATGTATATGTGTGTATATATCCATAGCCGGGATAGAATGTTTATGTTTTTTAAGTGGACATGATTGATAGAATGTTATGTATCATTTTGCAACTTGATTTTTTCACTCAACATTGTGTTTGAGATTTAACCATTTTGATACACATAGCTGTAGTTCATGCATTTTAACTGCTGTATACTACACATTCAGTTGTATGGACCATCACAATTTATCCATTCCCTTATTGGTGGGCAGTTAGGTTCTTCCCAGTATTTTGCAGCAATGAATAGACTTAAAAGATGTCTCTCTGTGCACATGTGTGTTTCTCTGGGGGTAAATACGTATATGGAGATGAAACGTCTGGGTCTTTAGGCTTGGAGGTAAAATTTGGGGGTCTTAGCGTTTAAGAATCTTCCTTGTAACTAGATATTGCTGAACTGCTCTCCAAAGTGATTGTACTAATTTATGCTCCTACAGGCAGTTTATGAGAGCTGTTTTTAGCTCCACCAGCCTGGATATTGTTAATGTTCAACCTCACTGGCAATCAGTGACATGTAAAGTAACAAAACAGTGAAGCATATTGTGTCCATCAGAAAGCAAGAGTTTTTCCTCATGATAATATCTAGTGTGGGCTAGGGGAAAAAGAAATGTAAGTGATAGCAGCCTTTTTGAAGAACAGTTTGGGGGAGTAGCTGTCTTTCACAATGTAAAATGGTGCATGTCTTTCAGCCCAACTCAGATACGTGCTAGTGTGGAACCAATGCTATGCAGCAGTTAAAACTTGTACTGATATGAAAAGATCTCCAAGACCTAATGTTAAGTTAAAAAAAGTATGTTGTGGAGCAATATGTACAGTCTTCATGTAAAATAAAACCTTACAAAACCTAACTGTATATCATAATACATAAAAGTGTCTGCAAGGCTGCGTACATACCTAACTGATGGCAGTGGTTACCTCTGGGAAGGGACGAGAGGTTGGGGGAAAAGAGTGAGGAAGGGGGCTTTTGATTTTTTTATCTGAAATAATTCATTTGCCTGATTTTTTTTTACAGTGTCACTGTATTTCCATGAGTATTAACAAAATAAGTGAAATTAAAAAAAATCCCAATTAAAAAAAAAAGAGAGATGATTACTCTCTCACTGCAAGTACGGAAACAGAGGTTGAGGCCACAGTCCTGTACTCTGCAAGTGGTCAAGCTGATAATACACACACACACACACACACACACACACACACATACACATACACATATACTTTGTCCCCTACATCCATTCTCCGTTCCCCCTTGGCCTTTGGTTGGCACCTCAGCCGACACAGAGATTCGGACGTCTGTGACCTTAGAGGGCTCTTGAAGGGTGGGCTTGTGGTGGTTTGCCTGATGTTAACCCTTTGCTGTGCCCTAACTGGCACCACACCAGGAAGTATGTTAGAAGTACCCTTGGGGCCTGGTTATTTTCCTCCCTGGTCCCTTGCCTAACAGAAGTCCTAATTTCCCTCACAGTTAGTAAATCCACCAAAGGGGACTCCTCTCTGGTGCCTGCAGCTCCCTGCTGGTATTGGAGAAGGCTGTCTATGGAGGGTCATGCTGTAGAGGTAATGCTGTCCTTACTAGGGACAACCACAAGGCCCGAGACCTGGGTCCCAGGCTCTGAGTGGCCTGGACTTGGGCCTCGGGCCTCAATTAAGCACATCCGACACTTGTGCCCAATACCTTTGGTCTGGAGGGAGAGGACATCAGAGGAATAGGGTCATGGAGCATTTGCTCCTGCGTTACCATGGCGGTGGCGGTGGTGGTGGTGGTGGTGGTGGCTGCAGTGTGGGACCATGCTGAGAGTGCTAGAGGCCAAAAAAGCTCCTGTGTAGGATGTGGCTGTTCCCTTTTTCCTGCCAGTTTCTGATTCTCCAGCCTCCCAGACAATTCCCCGAGCTCCCCCATAGCTTTCCAATCAGACTTTCGCTCAAATTAACTAGGGTTGGTTTCTGTCATTTGTAACTAAGAATCCCAGGTGGCACCCTGGCCAACACCATAGCCCACTTTTGTGCCCATGTTTAGCTATATGAAATACCCCAAATGGCAAAGGGTCAGGCAATTTCTGTTTACAAAACGGGACCCATTATTGCTATCTGGAGCCATGGTTCTAGAACAGCAGGCCTCAGGGGCTGCTACACATGAAGCAGTCATTTTGAAAAGTGGTTTATTTGGTATGTTCATTAAAGGTGTCACCCACCACACTAGACCTCTTGGTTTCTGGGCTTGTTTCCCGGCTGTGGAATAAATAGCTCCACATTTTGGTCATTGATTTGGAGTCTAAACCACTATATCTTGCAAGACAGCACCCCAGATTCCTGAGGGGGTCCCCCTAGCTAACACTGTCTCAACTGTCATAAGGCCTTTCCCGTTTCTAAGGCACTACCTTCTCTTAGCCCTCTGTTCTGGCTAGATCCTTCTACGTTTGTCCCTGGACCTCTGATCTGAAATGCCCTGTCCAGCCCTATCAATTTTATCCATGCTTTAAAAAGTCCTGTTCATGTGCCAGCTCCTGAGAACAATGTTCTCTGACACCCCTGGCTCCTCCACTCTGTGTCCCATCTCTGTGAACCCTTGAGGTCAGAAGCTATTATTTCTGAGTCATTTCCATAGGCCTGGCATTCAGTGCTTGTCTCAGATGCATTCAGCAATGCTGGCTGACAGGATGGATGAGTTCCTCTCCCAATGTAGGCTTAAGGTGGGGGACGTGTTTGGAGAGCTCAGGAGAAACCATGGGGTCCTGACCCAACCAGGTGCTTCTGAACCAGCCTTACCCTACTCCCAACCCCCAGCTTCTGCAGGCCCTGGACCCCTCCTCCTCTCCTCTTGCGACCCTCAATCCCATTTTCTGTTTGGCCTGCTGAGCCCCCAGTATTTCAGAGACTGTTCTCAGGCCCAGGGCCTGTGTCTAGGAAGTGATGCTCATCTTGACGATGGAGAAATATGTGGCAACTGGTCTCAGTATATCTCGCTTTGGCCTGGGTTGAACCTCTGACAAACATGGAGCTGAGAGGGTATTTGTCCATCAGTCACTGGCCCCAGCTTCGGATGAGGCCCAGTGTGGAGCAGGCTTTCAGTCTGCTTGGCATTGTCATCTGCACAATGGGATTTTGGTGCTAGGCCTGTTGCTGCAGGTTTCTGCTGCCCCCTGCATGTCTCACATCCCATTTCCTTCTTCCAGACTTTATTATCCTAAAACATTAGCGGGGCTTCATAATCCCTTACATTTGGATAAGATTTTCCCCAGACCCCTTCACATTTAGGGATGTTACTGGACCCTCCCATTCACATTGAAAGGTGAACTATAAGGACACTGAGGTTCAGGAAGGTGGAGACAGCTCTGAAGAGATGGAAAGAGTATGTCTGCTTGGCAGGGGAGGGCAGCAGCTGTCCCAGCCCCAGTGTGGTGAGGAGTGGGTAGGGGTCTGGTCCTCAGCCCAGGCTGGCTCCAGCTAGACGCTGTTCAGGTGCTCTGGTCATAGGCATCACAGGCTGCCAGCTACTGGGAAACTCTGAAGGCCCAAGGGGCACACACTAAAGGCCCAAGGGGCACACAGACAAGAGGGTACCAGGCGTTTGGATGGGAAGAAGAGGATAAACAAGACACACAATTGTAAAGGGGTTCTTCCACAGGACCGGGGGACTAGGAGACAGTAACTACTTATAGT